GGAAGTACCGAGACGGGCTACGGGTACGGCCCCATGTAACCCTTTCCGGCGGTCTTGCGCGGGTTTCAAGAAGAACGGCTGCGTGGGTTTCCAGTGTGAGGCTGGAGGGTCAAGTGGTGTCGTGGATTTCGGCCCAGCAAAGGCTGGAATGGCGTGTTGAGTACCTATACTGCTCTTCTTGGGATGTGGGATTTGAGTAGGGGACTCGGTTCTCGGCTGGAGATGTCTCCAGCTCTTTGGGTTTTGATGTTTTTGATGTCGTGAGTTGGAGAGCGGCTGGTGGTGGAGGCTATGTTATCTTGTGTCACCTTGCCTTTGATGTCTACTTTTGGAAAGCTTCAGCGCGGGGGGGTCAGATTGAGGGTATGTTCCGATGCTTTGAAGGAGAGAGATTTTTGCTCCTCTATTTTTTTATTTTTTTTTGAGTGACATGTAGTCTACGCCTCTCGACGTTCTCCCTGCCATGTAGGATGAATGGAGAAGGTGGTCTTGATAACTCACCCGGGACTATCCGCTTCGTTAGTAGGCATGTACCTCATAGAGAGCTTTATAGCCAAAGAGTCTTGACCAGGTCTCTTATGTAACGAGACATTTTGTCGTCCCATGATTCGGGTTCCTCTCTCTCTACACCTGTTGACAGAGCCTGAGATCCTGTCCTCTCGAACCTGGAAAACCAGCTTTACCTTGTGTTTGTTCGTTCTGCCCTTGCTGATTACTCGAGCGATGCTTTGCCTTATATATGCCACATCAACCAAGAATCTCCCGTCCTTTCATAACTTGAACGTCACCCATCAACCCTCGCCTGCATAATACCCCAGGTGCACCCAGAATCACTGCCTGATGAAGAAAGATTCACTGATTATGAGCCCCTCCGCAGGCGGTCAAAATACACCTTCTTGCCCATGAACTGATGTGTGACTCCACAGGAGCTCTTCAACCTCATCAACGCGAATACGAGAGTCGGATATCTTACTTTCACTGGCTTTGGAGCATGGTCGAAGCTGGAGGGGATCGAGACTCCGAGGGAAGTCATGCGCAATCATGTTATTGGAAACCATTCAGCAACGTGGTCCCTGAAGTGACCCGACTCCATGCCCCCAGACTCGTTTTTAAGCCCAATGTATTGGGCTTCAATGCGAGTTACCCAATAGTACTCAATGCATGGCATTTATACACAAGTTGCCTGCTTCAGACATCTGCTACTATCCAAGTAGTTTTCGTGTCGTGCAGATATCCAGTAATAGTCGATCCATGAGTAAAAACCGAACATTTACGAAAAGCCGGTAGCCTCTACCCATGCTTGACCATAAGCTCAGTCACATCGTTGTCTCCGTTTTGTCAGGCGTACTCCCGACAAGCTATTGAACCAAACAGGCAAACAACTTTCACCCCTGGGAGATGCTTCCCAGAATCAATGAAAAGTCATCCAGGTGCATACTGAGGCGGCTGGCACCAATATGGCAACCGCAGCAGTGATCGAAAGTCATATCTTGCGGTCTATAGTGATTCTTAGTGTGCTGACCTCAACTGCGAGCCACCACCTTGTTAGTCATATGCTGGATATGGAGAAAGTTCACTCGATTCGTAAAGACTCACATAACGAGCCAAGCCCCGTGAAAAATAATGTAACGCCCGTACCTTCCCTACTTTCCCTTCCTCCGATACATGCCTCTAACGGATACAACTGAATAATACACCGGAAAGCCCCAGTCCCAATACCTACTCATATAGATCACCCTCAACTCCATGCCAATCACCAGATAGCAAGCGCCCCCTTGAGGGTGAGGTCAAAATTGGCTGGGTGGTGGAGGGGCTCGAGTCCACGCAACAGCCTAATCGCTGAAGGCTAAGAGGTCCCGAGCTCACGTCCGAATATCCCAGCATGTGCGCCATAGATGTAGTCCCCATTCGCCACTGGGGGGAGGGGGGGGGGAAGGGTTGAACTCTTTTTCTTCCCGTAGGTCTTGAGAAGGTACATTGTCGGTCGATAGGATTCGGTCGACAGCTTTCTTTTCCCCTCGAGATACTAGTGGGTATAGGTGCACATGGCATCCACACAGGATATAGGAATACATGGGAAAATGTAGCCATGAACGGATGAGAATGGTTGAAAGGGTGTTTTCACCTCCTGATTATTTGTAGGCAAACGGTCAATCGCCGCTTTCTAGACGTACTTTACAGCGCAGTCCCCGAGTCCCGCGTCCCATCTCCGTGCTCTATCTGGGACATGCCGCAGCCTCATGCCAGCGAGATGTAGACCCGTGCGTGCTTCCAAGTAAGCAAAAGTTCAAGTAGGTTTCCTCCAAGAGTCTCAGAGACTAATACCGAGGCGTACTGTGGCACTTGTCGGTGATCTTTGTCTGACAGCATCCTGGTATTTATACGCGCAGCCTCGTCCACGCTCGGCACAACGAATCTAGATACAGGAGATATATATGCCATTACACAACGAAGAAAATTCAATATATGGAAGGTGGAAACTATAATTCGTAGCCGCGAGAATTGACAGTTGATAGGTACATCTATTAGACCTCCGCGCTCGTCTATCGCCTCGTTCAGTTCCTGAAGGGAAGGAGGGATGTTCCGGGCCATATCGTACGCCGACAAATTCGGCCATAAGACGCAGCGTAGTCTCATTCCTTTCTTCAAACAAGAGGGGTGATGACATGGTTACGGATGCCGAGGGGATGGCTATGGATTGAGACATAACCCTAACATGACAAAAGTAACCCGCCAAAGATTACAGGGACGGAGAAATCAGAAAACCTCGAATAACGCAGTATACATTCCATCGTAACAGAGATGAATGTACCCCCTGGCCGAGACTCTCGCCTGCTTCTATGATAGCTCGACAGAGGATAACCCCCATCTGGGCACATTCTCGTAATGTACCTAATAAGTATAGATATGACGGTTCTTAACCTCAACTTCTCACGTGTCTCTGAGACCTGATGGCAAATGGATTCTACCTTGTCAGAGATACGTATTACCGCTCTATCCTTCGTCTGACACTTCTTGACTATTCGAAGTTTCAGGATACGGTAGCGTGGGCCGCTCGTCTATCACACCCGACTGACTTTGCTACCTTTGTTGATAGAACCATAGCTCGACGACGGCAGTAAGTATTTTGACACGTAGGCATTAGCTCGACGATAGTAAACGACTGTCCCGAGAAGGTTGAGCATGCTCTGTCCTCACCGACTCAAGCTGAACCACGATCCAAAGAGCTGCCAATCGAGAACCCCATCTTATAGAAACGTAATCCCCCTCCGTGAAGCGGAGCCAGGCAGGGCATTCCTATCTCAAGCTCGACTTTCCCGAGACCAGAATAATCTCAACACCTTTTCTTCAACGACGGGCCCCTGTGACGAAGAAAGCCTCAATCCCAGATAAGTCAACAGACCCGCGAGCCCAGTTCCTTGCCCTTCTTGCTCGAGAACAACTGAACGAAGAGCTAGCTTCTCCGGCTCTCCCTAGTCGCCCTTGTTGACGTCCTATCAAAGAACTGATCTTATCCACAATGAGACACCGTTGGAAGAGACCGGACCTTTTCTCTCTCCTCCTGGTTCTCCAGACGCTATAAAACCCCGGTCAATCGTTAATAACATGTCAGATCTCACCAATCTAGTCTGGGGGGTCCGATCTGATCCGATCCTGCGCCTCTCCCCGCACAAAACGTGTGATAATTCATGTCAAATATGATCACCCGTGGGACAATTCCCGGCGGACAAATATGTCATATCAAAAGTCTTGGCCCTTTATCGTCCAATGCACCACCGTCATAACCACGGCGGAAACTCTAAAGCCAAAGAAGAACAACAGCAAAAGTGACATCACGAGCTCAGAAATCGTACTCGTAAGAGAGCGAACAGTTCAGACTTTTTCTTCTTCTTTTTTTTTGCTTCGCATCAGAAACATTGGTGGACCACTCGCGGAAACCCAAGAAGGAAAGTGTTCAAAGATTCAGAGACATAATTGTTGCAGAAAAACCGGACGAACCACTGTCAGGCTTATTTGTGTCAGCAACACGAATTGACTTCATACTTCCCGAGGCTCCGACGTCTTTTTGCTGTCCAGTGCTCTCTCTCTGACCAGCAAAACGTCAGGAAGCAAGCAGCCCCCCGGCGCGAGCCGCATGATGTCAGTTAGTAGGTTCATTTGCTGCAAACACCACCTCAATATGGTAAGTTGGCCCTGTTCCCCCCTAACGCCTTAAAATAAGCTTGGAAAAGAAAGTAGATGCCATCGCCTAGTCAGTTCTTTTCTACCCGATTGAGAAATGAATATAGATACGTAGGACTGGCAGAAAATGGCTGCCTGTGTTGTGCACCACCATGCTACTCAGCCCAGTCCCCAGAGCCTCCGATTTGGTCTACGTTGTGTACTTCCGCAACGGTATCAGGAGCTCAGCGTCATCTTCAGCACTGGAAGGTTCATACCTGCCTAACCCAGGAACCGGTTTGGAAAAAAAAAACCCAAAACCATTAATGGCCGAATATTCGATCCGATGTTCTCTTTCCGCGGATGAGCTGCCACCAAGCGCATGAGGGACCTTGCATACTTGTATTCTTGCAATACCGAGGCAAAGCGTACGCGAGTCAGGAAGTTGGGATGTTGTCATGGCCGAGCTCATCGCACCCCGCGCCTCACGTTCAGAATCTCTATGGATGGCCTCCATCCGATGTTGAGACCGGGAGCCATTCGCAGTCTGATACATGATCTCCTTCTGCCACCGAGACACGTCACTTGAGGCTCGGCTTCGCCTCCGAACCATGACCTACGCATTCACTCGGGCTTTTTATAGTCCAGTCCCGATGAGCCCTCCACATGCCGGGCAAGGTGGTGCCCTGATTGCTCATTGAGCGAAAACAAGCTTCCGAGGCCTGCCATCTGTGGCTTTCCTGGGCTGGCAAGGCTTCGATGACATCGGCAAACTTTTCGCCTGGCGGTCATAGCATTGAGTTGCGGGAGGCCCCTTTACCCCAGCCCGTCGATCGCACTCACAAATAGTACCCCATCTGTAACGCAAAAGTCCGCTGCAGTGGAGGTCTCAGGGGAAAGTGAAAGACGGTGTGAAATTGCTGGTTACCAGTCATTGGAATAGCCGACGGCTGACGGTACCGTTCCACCAACGAGCGCCGCAGCGGTGAATGCCCCAGCCTCGCCGCAGAGACGGGCTCGCCGACCATGTAGTCGGGACACCCGCGCTGGAAGAATGCGTTGGCGCGCCGGAGAGGGCTGCAAACGGAGCCGGGATTCGGAGTCACGGCACTGAAGCATCGCTCATCCAGGAGCCAATACCTGGTTCTTCTCGTCCGAGCATTTGATGGGCGGAATGAAGTAATTGAAGGCTGAAGGCGAATACGATTGCGACTTCTTTCGCCATGGTTCCTGAGGCTGAAAAGCGTCATCTCATGTCCACAGCTGGGAAACCTGGGAGAGTGGCCGAACTGGATACGGGTCGTGGATGTTGGTTCGCTGTCCAAGCCAGAAGGTTGAAGGTTCAAAACCCCGTGTGAGGTGGAGAGGGCCCGGTTGCCGCCCCTCCAAGCAGTGCAAATAAACGAGCGTAGAGCCGACTGATAGGCGCGTAGGGCAGAGAGGTCGTCGACATTGTTGGATCCCTCCGTCTGTGTAATGCAGAGTAGTACAGATACTCTGTTGCACGTGTGCAGTCCTTGAGCAAAGGGTTCGTGTGGCCACTAAGGCTGATGATGGCTGAGGTTCGGAACTGGCCGCAAGCGTGCTGAGTAGTAGAACCCATACTCCGCCCAACAGCAGGTATTTGATTTTGACTCGTAGCGAGGCGTAAGCAGCGACTCACTGGGCTCGGGGCAAATTCCTTTGTGACAACAGTGGAAGAGTGCATTCATCCCGTCCACCGCCAAATGTGTTATGCAGCGATGCGAGGCGTGGTGGGTGCACCGCCTCAGCCCCAGTCGATCAGCCCCAGCCCAATCTTACTATTTTTGGGTCTCCTCCTGACGGATCCCCGTATCCGAATTGGCCAGAGGCAACAACAAACAACTTGCACGCAGGCGACAGAAAGTTGAAATACCGAGTCTCTGATCTGGTTGGGGGTACGTATGCCCACAACCTAAACCTCGGGTGGAAGCCCATTTTCTTGAGTTGCTACTGCGGCTATTAGTGCGGCGAATGAGTAGGATAGGGTTTCGTTGTGATCAGGCGAGGGAGGACAAAAAGAGAAGACAACGAAGGAGGGCATGACGATGACAGGCGAGCTCGAGACATCAGACTGAACGAATGTGGTGCTTGAGCCGTGGGTTGGAAATATGACAGGAAAAAGATTACAGCAGGTTCCAGGCCATTAACGTGTGAAAATTCCAGCTCCGAGAGGGACGAGCAAGCATGTGCTTGTAATAGTTCTTCATGTCATGAACTGGCGGTGCCTGTCGACTGTCCATGACGAGACCTAGGTGAGAGAGGAGCTGGCGAGATTTGGCTGCCAGCTGGTACGGAAGCTGGAAAAGCCAAGGCGCTGGGTAGGGCGAGGGGGGGCACGTTTCAGAATGTTCTTGGAAGCCACAGGATCCCGGGCGACAAGTGGATCGTTAAGAGGTACACGCGTCTCACATAGATGTGGAGGGTGATACAGGCGGCGCCACTAACAAGCCAATGTCGTTTCTTGAGATGCTTGTTGCCTCAGTCAGGATTCGCCATACGATGAGTACGCAGTACGTCTAGACTCTCTAGACCCTGCCACTCTGGAGTCTGACGGGACTGCGGAAGAGGTACTGAGCGGCAGTAGCTCTCTGCTTCCGGGCCTTACAATTTCATGCCTTTCTTCTGTCATGCCACGAATTATGAGACCCCCCCTGACAGCCCCGGCTTTGAACACACTCGGGAATGCTTGTCAGCTTGCTGGGTTCTGTCTGCCGTCAGCTTTTTTGTCCTTCCTCTGTGAGTTGCTTACTAGGTAGCTGCAGCAGTCCTGTATATCCTGAATCTCTTCCACTCTCTCAGTACTGCAGTCTGACGGGAGTCTGAGTCTGACAGCAATGATGAGACGGAAGAGGGGCCGAGGAACGACAATGAGGCGAAAAGTCTGCCGAACATGAGCCACCGTTGCTGTTCCTTCCCGCAGCACTGCTCGTTCCTCTTCCCAATGGAAACCAAGGATGATGGCTGGATTGCTGGTGGTGGCACGACAGATGCCGGCAAGGGGACGGCGTTTCTTTTAGCTTCCACCTTCTCCTTTTCCTTGCCGGCGCGTCCATCCATCGCCGCAACATTCCCCTTGAAGGCAGTCCGTCATTGAGCCAGGACAGGTGTGCTTGGCCGGCTCTGTTCGCTGCTGGCAGTCACCAACTTTGCTGGTTTTGTTGCTGTTGCATAGGTGCACAGGTGCATAGGCACCCCTCCTTCTCCTGAAGAGCAATGCTGGCAGTAAATGGGCGTTGATTGCGAGGTGTTTCTAGAGTCGATCCCAACCCCAAATGGACCGATTGAAGGCGCAAGGCCAAGGGGTATACGAAATGCAAGGGCCAAGGGAGCAACGGCCGGGGGTTTCGACTTGGGGGGAGACGTGACGTAGTTGGATGCGGGCCCGATTTTTATTTTCTCAAGAGTGCAACCTTCGGAGACGTCGACGTTGGAAGTGCGATTCGACTGGTTGGCCGCCAGCTCGTGATGAGCATCGGCGCGGTTGTTGTCTTGGTTTGCTGGACTGCTGCAGGCTGGTTAGCAATGGCTAGCGACAGCAACCGCGACCATCCGACCAGGTTGCTAGGATCCATCATGAAAGAACCTGACAGAGGGAAGAAAAAGATGGAGGGACAGGGTTAACGACGGTCGACGGCATTGGCTTTCCTGGCTGGCACACGACTGGGACCAGGACCACCCGCTGGCCTGGGGATGAGACTGATGGCAGCCCTTCCTAGCCAGTCCATCCGTTGTCTGTCACTTGCGCAGTAATAGTGCACTGACGTTGAGGTTTCCGAAAAGCGAGGTGAGGTTTAGTGACGGATGTGCTGCATACGGAGCAGACAGTAAGGAGTGCCCTTCGATCCGTATCAAGGAGAGGTCTTGCTTGCGTCAATGGGCCCCTTGGATGTCCATGGGTATGCCGACTCCGGGAGACGGGATGATGATGCTATGCTGGTGCTGGTGCTGGTGCCTTCACTCAGGTTGTGTTGTTCAGTTGTTCATCGTGCAGAAACGCGATGCCTGGGCTAAGCAGCGCTAAGCCACAGCTTCCCCAGTCTGTTGACATGAGGTGAGAATATGGAGCAAGCTAATGAAAGGGGACCAGGAAAAAAAAAAGAGACAGTGACGCGAGGTACCATTCCTTCACTTTGCTGCAGACTATGGAGCAGCCCAGGGTAGGTAAGGTACCTTGGTTTACTGTGTCTACCGTGCCTTGGCTTAAGGTGCAGCAAGAAAGAAGGAACGAACGACAGTACCTGCTCGGTACAGCACAACATACGTAGCCAAGGCAGGCGAGGTAGGTAGGTAGGTACGAATATTCATAGTCGGGAAGGAGGAAAGCAGCAACAAGTCTCATCTCCTCGTTTGTACCTCGTCTCAGGGAAACAGGCTGGGGACGGATGCAAAAGTGACTTCTCCTTTTCTCATGCCGCACCATCTCCATGTACCTTGTGTCCTTGAATTTGGTCTCCTTCTCCCTCTCTGCCCGTACTGCTGCAGCAACGGAAAGGAAACTGTCTGCTCGCTGCCGAGTCCCCATCCTCATCTTCGCCCACCTCAGCCCAGTCGGGCCAATCCTAGAGCTATTCTCATCCATCCTAACTACCTCAGCCATCCTCTCCACCTGGCGCTTCCACGCTCGCTCTCACCTAGCTGCAGGTTTCTGGTTCCCACCAAGCAAGGCCGCCAGCCCGTCAGGACCCTTTTTTAACCATTTGCTGCCCCATCCTGCATCACCACCCTCTCCCCTTCTACTCCTCCTGCCCCCCAGCCCTCCATCCATCTTTACATCCTTCTCTTTTTTTTCCTCCTTCGCTTCACCAATCGTTACTGGGGTTGTGGCTTTCTTGGCCGCACATCTCTCTAACCTACAGCGCCTTTGTTCGCGCTCATCGCGTAACACAACCAACCCTACCCAGGCCTCTCTGCCCGAGTCCCTCGGCTGACGATATAATCAACCCTACCTAATCTTGTCCGCAACGAAGCAGTGGAAAAAAACCTTTCCCATCATTCATCGCATTCATACCAGCATCAGCTACTCCTGAACCCGCCTCTAGCAATCATGGCTTACCGCGGGGGGCATGAAAACGATTACGATGGCGGCCACAATATGCAGGACCTTCCGCCTGGATCTGGCAGAGGAGTAAGCTTCACCTCCCATTAGCTCACCGCACAAAGCAGTCTCCATTGCTAACCTGGATCTTCTACCCAGTACCATCTGCCTCCTCAAGATGAGGGAGTTGACGAAGCCGGCCAATCTCTTCTGAGAGACCCTCACGCACCTGCTCCCTACGAGAGCCACCTTGGAACAGGCGAGACCCCTGGCCGTCCAGTCTCCGCATACAGTCTCACAGAATCATACGCTCCTGGTGCCGGAGCTCGGACACCAGTTCCTGGCGAGACAGCTTTCGCGTCTGGCTACAGCAATGAGCTCGACTCGGATGCTGGTGGTTTTGGCTATGGAAACAGACCCCCCTCCACCGTGGATGCCGACGAGAGCTGGACCCGCAGACAGCAGCCCGGCAACCAAGGTGGCGGTCTGAAGCGTTACGCGACCCGTAAGATCAAGCTTACTCAGGGCTCCGTCCTGAGCATCGACTACCCAGTCCCCAGTGCCATCAAGAACGCTGTCCAGCCAAAGTACCGCGATGTTGAGGGCGGCAGCGAAGAGTTCATGAAGATGCGCTACACCGCCGCCACTTGCGACCCCAACGACTTCACCCTCAAGAATGGTTACGATTTGCGCCCGAGAATGTATAACCGACACACCGAGCTCCTCATCGCAATTACCTACTACAACGAAGACAAGGTGTTGCTCTCTAGAACTCTCCACGGTGTCATGCAGAATATTCGCGACATTGTCAACCTGAAGAAGTCTACCTTCTGGAACAAGGGTGGACCGGCTTGGCAGAAGATTGTCGTCTGTCTGGTTTTCGACGGTATCGAAAAGACCGACAAGGCCGTGTTGGACGTTCTCGCAACCGTCGGTATCTACCAGGATGGTGTCGTGAAGAAGGATGTCGACGGAAAGGAGACAGTCGCTCACATCTTCGAGTACACCTCTCAATTGTCCGTCACGCCCAACCAGCAGCTTATCCGCCCCGTTGACGACGGCCCATCCACTCTCCCGCCTGTGCAGTTCATTTTCTGCCTGAAGCAAAAGAACAGCAAGAAGATCAACTCCCACAGATGGCTTTTCAACGCCTTCGGCCGCATCTTGAACCCGGAAGTCTGCATTCTCATCGATGCTGGTACCAAGCCTAGTCCCCGCTCGCTGCTCGCGCTTTGGGAGGGCTTCTACAACGACAAGGACCTCGGTGGTGCTTGTGGTGAGATTCACGCCATGTTGGGCAAAGGCGGCAAGAAGCTGCTCAACCCCTTGGTTGCCGTCCAGAACTTCGAGTACAAGATCTCCAACATTTTGGATAAGCCTCTCGAGAGCTCTTTTGGATATGTCTCCGTGTTGCCCGGTGCTTTCTCCGCCTACCGCTTCCGCGCGATCATGGGTCGCCCGCTGGAGCAGTACTTCCACGGTGACCACACTCTTTCCAAGATCCTTGGTAAGAAGGGTATCGACGGAATGAACATTTTCAAGAAGAACATGTTCTTGGCAGAGGATCGTATTCTTTGCTTCGAGCTGGTCGCCAAGGCCGGCCAGAAGTGGCACTTGTCGTACATCAAGGCCGCCAAGGGTGAGACCGACGTTCCCGAGGGCGCTGCTGAGTTCATCTCTCAACGTCGTCGTTGGCTCAACGGTTCCTTCGCTGCCTCTCTGTACTCTCTCATGCACTTTGGTCGCATGTACAAGTCCGGCCACAACATTATCCGCATGTTCTTCTTCCACGTCCAGCTCATCTACAACATCCTCCAGGTTATGTTCACATGGTTCAGTTTGGGTTCCTACTACCTGACTACGACGGTCATCATGGATCTTGTCGGTACTGCCGTCACCTCCGACGACCCCGATGTGGCCCGCAGCGGTTGGCCCTTCGGAGACACCGCCACTCCTATCGTTAACGCCCTTCTCAAGTACCTCTACCTGGCCTTCGTTATTCTGCAGTTCATCTTGGCTCTGGGTAACAGACCCAAGGGTTCTAAGTACACCTACATCGCCTCTTTCGTCGTCTTCGGTCTCATCCAATCCTACATCCTAGTCCTTTCGATGTACTTGGTTGTCCAGGCCTTCCAGAAACCTATTGGCGAGCAGATCAGTCTCGACTCCGGTGAGGATTTCGTTGCTAGTTTCTTCGGAGGCACGAACGCTGCCGGTGTCATTCTCGTCGCCTTGGTCACTATCTACGGTCTGAACTTCATCGCTTCCTTCATGTACCTCGACCCCTGGCACATGTTTACCTCTTTCCCTCACTACCTGGTGCTCATGTCGACCTACATCAACATTCTCATGGTCTACGCCTTCAACAACTGGCACGATGTGTCTTGGGGTACAAAGGGTTCAGACAGTACCGAGGCTCTACCTTCTGCACACGTCAGCAAGGGTGAGAAGGATGAAGCTGTGGTGGAAGAAATCGACAAGCCGCAAGAGGATATCGACAGTCAATTCGAATCGACGGTCAAGCGTGCGCTGGAGCCTTTCAAAGAAACTCCGGAGAACGAGAAGCCGGACATCGAAGACTCGTACAAGTCTTTCCGTACCGGTCTGGTTGTGTCGTGGCTCTTCTCCAACACCTTCCTTATCATCGTCATTACGAGTGATAACTTCAACTCGTTCGGCATTGGCGTAAGTTCAAAGGTCCCGAAATACGAGTCCATTACCATACTAACTCTCATTTCTAGAAAACTGCATCAGCACGTACTGCTTCTTACTTCAGCTTCTTGCTGTACTCTACTGCCGTCTTATCACTTGTCCGTTTCTTCGGATTCCTGTGGTTCTTGGGCAGGACCGGTATCATGTGCTGCTTTGCCAGACGGTAAACAGACAAACGGAGGAGATTGTCCAAACAAGCGCCGAACCTCTCGACGCGTGTTGGATGTGTATCAGAAGGAAGACTGTACTCTTGCCAGCTTTGGCTCATTGCTACGAACCCGCTGGTGTTTTTCATTCTGGGCGTGTGTTGAGTAATAAAGGACACGGGACTCGGCAGATTCTTGATGAAGTGGGCGGAAGCTCAGTAAAAGTAGTTTCGATTAAGCAGCATTCATGGCGTTTTACATGGATACAATACCTTACGCTTAGTATCAGACAATGACAATGATTTTAAACATGATTCCTCAATCTACGTGGACGGACTTCCGGAGACTAGTGATCAATTTTGAACGCATCTGATTTCACAGACTCATTGCATGCAATCGAGCGGTAAAATAGAAGCTTCCGGCCAACTTGGCGGCTGTATGAAAGCGCGCGGGTATTGGCCGACCATGATACATGGACGCTGACAAACCGACGACCTTTGAGCACCCCAGCCCCAGAGTGCTTCCGTCCTTTCATGGCTTTCTTTGCATTTCTTCATTTGTTCAGATTGCTGTTGTTCAATGTTGTTCAACGACCGGGGTCTGAGGCAAGCTGACAAGAGTGGTTCTAGGTCGGTAGATCCCCGGGTAAATAATACACCCACCCTATCTTATCGCAACCAGAAAGTGACCGCATTGACTGGTGCCCAGTTGGTCCGCTCCTCCAGGCACCTTCCCGTCCCAAGACCGCAAGACTCCGGACAGAGACGATTACCTTATACTTAACTTGTTGTTCAACTGCTTGGTTACCGCGCAAACACCACTGATTCAGGAAAACACCATCTTCCACCCAGGTCGTGTGCGTGCCCTCGTTCCCCGTCTCGCCCTTCTCGCAGAGCGCCCCACCAACTCCTCCCACCAGACACCCCGCCAGAGATCGGACAAGATGCTAAAGATTTGGTCTATGGTATGTGACCACCGGAACCTCTCGGTCAAGGGGACTACTAACGTCTCTTACAGAAGAAGGAGCAGCAGAAGGCTGAAAATGCCGACGCTGCGGGTGGCAAGAAGAAGAAGGTGACTGCCGCGCAACTTCGAGTGCAGAAAGGTCTGAACCCCTCAGCCAGCCAAGGAAAGAAAATCGTGATCTCGTTGCTCACGCTCGCTTCCAGATCTCTCGGAACTATCTCTCGGATCAACAATGAAGACCGACTTCCCTGACGCTGACGACATTCTCCACTTCACGCTTACGATCGAGCCCGATGAGGGCATGTACCGGACCGGACGATTTACCTTTACATTCGACATCAACCAAAACTTCCCTCACGAGCCCCCAAAAGTCCGATGCAAGGAGAAGATATACCACCCTAATATCGATCTGGAGGGCAAGGTTTGCCTGAACATTCTGCGCGAAGACTGGAAGCCCGTTCTCAACTTGAACGCGGTCATTGTTGGACTCCAAGTATGTTGACGAGCAGAAAGCACGATTCTGGGTGGGCACCAACTAACAGACCTCTTTTCGTAGTTCCTGTTCCTCGAACCGAATGCCTCCGACCCTCTGAACAAGGAGGCTGCCGATGATCTAAGACTCAACCGCGAGGGATTCAAGCGCAATGTCCGGACCGCGATGGGCGGTGGCACTGTCCAAGGGCAGAGCTACGACCGTGTGTTGAAATAAGATCTGCAACAGCAAGGAGATAGCGTCCATCTCGCTGCTGGACTTTTCTCTAACGACATGACCGTTTGGCGAGACAAGAGGCCAGCCCGGATTTGATACCAGAGACGGACGGACAGGCTGCTGGTTCGCGGAAGGGTGGAATGCGCATCTGAAGGGTCGGTGGGCATCAAAAGCAAGCATCGTCGTCAGGCGTTTGGGGAGACAAGATTACAAATTACAACAGGTCAAGGTTCTGGCAAGACATCAAGCCCAGTTTAGAGATAGCACTAGCGAGGGCGCAGCACAGAAGGGTTCGTTGATGCGCTGTGGAAGGCGGAAGTCAGACTGAAGACGAAGATGTGGTGACTAGCGGGAAGAAGTGATGAGTTTCGAGAGGTCGCAGAAGCATAGCTGGAATGCAAACAGCGTTGCCGTGTCACGGCAGGAGAAGAAGCAAACATGGAGAATGGAAGCCAATTACCGGGCCGATTGACTCCCCCATAATGGTATCCGTACTCCATACAAGAAAGTTGAAAAGAAGAGTCAGAGCTCCTCAAGAGAGGAGTCACAGCAGCTCAGCGCCGGCGACCGGTCAACAGCTGTAGCTGCAGAGAGAGGCCGAAGGCATAGGTCAACGGCCGTAGCCGGCGCCCAGTAGTCGGTGAGATTCCGCCTGCGGCCCATCTGTTGTGACTCCTGTCTGGCCACTGGGCTACGATGTCGGTGTGGTTGGCTCTCCCCTGCTCCACAGCACCCGCCTCGCCGGCAATAACGTTGATTGCTCCCCGAGGTTCTTAGGTAAGGCCGCTGTCAAATGAGAACCGGACCAAGTAGAGGCTACCCGCCCGGTCCAGCAAAGTCCCTGCCTTCTCCAAAGTCCCCAGTACCCGCTCTCCCACTTGGAGGACCCCCTACCGAACCCCGGACGCTTCCAGACATCTTCCCCACCATTGGCACAGGCCAGCAGCAGGACGACGCAGCAGGCTAACCCACCAACGACCAAGCTGGGCCGAAGTCGGGGGTCAGCTCGCCCGTCTCTACGCCAGTAAAAAATTTCCCAATTCCAAACGCCTTTTTCTCATCAGTGAAACTCTGTTTTCTTCATCCATCTCTTCCTTCTTCTTCCTTACAATTGACTTGTACGGATACCCTCTCCACTCCCTCCTCCCCCAACACACAGTCAGAATGGCCTCCCGCAGCTTCTCCAAGGCGCTTCGTTCGCCAATGGCCCGCCAATTGGCGGCCAAGCCTGCTACTCAGCAGCGCACCTTCGTTGCTGCCCGCCAGCTCGTCCGCGCCTCTGCCCAGGTCAACAAGGCTTTCGTCGCTCCTGCTCAGCAGCAGGCTCGCGGTGTCAAGACCATGGACTTCGCCGGCCACAAGGAGGACGTCTACGGTAAGGAAACCGACCAGAGCTGACGAATCTTTTTGCCTCGTTGCGAATGACTCGCCAGGGAAGTCAGAGGGAGAGATTTGCTGACGTTGATGCCACAGAGCGTGCCGACTGGCCCCAGGAGAAGCTTCTTGTGAGTCACAAACAATCATGAGGGCTCGGAAGGGAGTCAATTGGAACTGACAATCGTTTGTAGGAGTACTTCAAGGACGACACCCTCGCTCTCATCGGCTACGGCTCCCAGGGTCACGGCCAGGGTCTTAACCTCCGTGACAACGGCCTCAACGTCATCGTCGGTGTCCGCAAGAACGGCCAGTCCTGGAAGGACGCCCAGCAGGACGGCTGGGTTCCCGGCAAGAACCTCTTCGATGTCGATGAGGCCATCTCCCGCGGTACCATCGTCATGAACCTTCTCTCCGACGCCGCCCAGTCCGAGACCTGGCCCGCCATCAAGCCCCAGCTCGTCAAGGGCAAGGTGCGTCATTTCTCGCACAATTGAGCAAACAGCTCAATTGGGGCCTCAAAGCTGACATTGAATGCAGACCCTCTACTTCTCCCACGGCTTCTCCCCCGTCTTCAAGGACGTCACCCACGTCGACGTCCCCAAGGACATTGACGTCATCCTCGTCGCCCCCAAGGGCTCTGGCCGCACCGTCCGCTCCCTCTTCCGTGAGGGCCGTGGTATCAACTCTTCCTTCGCCGTCTTCCAGGACGTCACTGGCAAGGCCAAGGAGAAGGCCCAGGCTCTCGGTGTCGCCATCGGCTCCGGCTACCTCTACGAGACCACCTTCGAGAAGGAGGTCTACTCCGACCTGTACGGTGAGCGTGGCTGCCTCATGGGAGGTATCCACGGCATGTTCCTCGCCCAGTACGAGGTTCTCCGTGAGCGCGGCCACTCCCCCTCCGAGGCTTTCAACGAGACCGTCGAGGAGGCCACCCAGTCCCTGTACCCCCTGATCGGTGCCAACGGCATGGACTGGATGTACGAGGCCTGCTCCACCACCGCCCGCCGCGGTGCCATCGACTGGTCCCCCAAGTTCAAGGACGCCCTCAAGCCCGTCTTCAACAGCCTGTACGACGCCGTCAAGGATGGCTCCGAGACCAAGCGCTCCCTGGAGTACAACTCCCAGAAGGACTACCGCCAGAAGTTCGAGGCTGAGATGGAGGAGATCCGCAACCTTGAGATCTGGAGAGCCGGCAGAGCCGTCCGGTACGTTTTGACAACACTTGATTTTATACACATTGATGATCACTGGCTAACATCTATCCTTTCTACAGCTCTCTGCGTCCCGAGAACCAGAAGTAAGCGGTTCGGCGTTTTTGCTTTGGGAGAAGATAAAAATTTTACTCGGAATGGCCATTTCTTAACCACTGTGCCGGGGACGGGGGACTTTTGTACTTTATATGACCGGATTCTAGGGGATCTGGGCCTGGTTCAAAAGTTTGCATCTTGACTTTTGGGATCCTTCAATACCATTTCTTTTGCTGTCCATGAACACAATGTTTCAATCATCTCGTCTTTTTTACGTCAATTGGTGATTGTGCAAATGTCTGTGCCTGTTCCCGGAGATGTCGGGTTATGCAGGGACCCAAGACTGACTCGTCAGGCCCGTTGATACTTTACACAGATTGCGCTAACTGCTGCTGGACCGGGACCAAATTGGCACCCCCACGCCCGCGGTAGTGTTTTTGACTTTGGGGACATTTGCTGACAATGCAGCGGCGGTGTGGTGTTGCATGCGGCCGCAAGTTTCATGGCGATGTTGAGTCCACGGTCAGGACTTCAGAAGTACAGCCTCCGATGCTCGGTCAAGTTCGAGCACGCTCGGTAACAGTAAATTCTGGTCAACTAGATGTGCCCGGGAGTTTGCTGCACGGAAGAAATCAATTTCCCCTTTTTCAATTCGTGGTGGGAAATGACGTGGTCACTGTGCTCTAGCTAGCAACGCGTTCAGTCGCGCAAGACGAGCACTACCCTTGCTGAGATATGAAGGAACGGATTTACACGTATAAATATTGTTGTCTATCTTGCCTAGTTAATTACTTTTATCTAGACCGTCGCTGTACTGCTGCACTTTCACATGCGTCCCATTTGACCAGTTTCCTGCATCGCACAGGCAGTGCCCTTCCGAAACTCTGAAAGCCTGACGTGAAATGTCGGAGCTAGGTCGCTGCAACTTATGAGGTCTAGCTGGAGAGGGTCATAGCTGAATCGATTTTGGGTGTTATATTAGGATCCTTGGAGTTGCTACAAGCTTCACCTCAATAACCTGCGTGAGTCTTTGAGAGAAGGCGATTCGAGAATAGAGGCCAACCTCACCTTCCGCGCTATCGGTGACGTCGGTGAAGAGCCTCGGTGTGCGAATTTGCTGTAGCGACCCTGAGCCCCACCAACCCCCTTTGTCTGTGCATTCTCTCGGTAGTCGTTGCTCTGTCAACAGCAAACAAGCCTGGGCCCCTTCGCACCCCCTTCATCTCACAAGCGAGCCCAAAATGGGGTTTTGCTAGACATCCTATCGAAATATCAATCAATTGACGATTTACCTCACCTTAGTTTTCGCGCTTCCAACACTTGCAAACCAAACGTAACCTCTTCTAGCTTTTTTTGGAGTTCGCGCACAATGACGCCGTTGTCACCGACAAACGAATCAAGACTGAACACTGCAACGACCCTGACTGAAGAGGCAACAAGCCGCGGTTTCTTTGAGCACTGCGAAGTGGTCCACTCCCGCACTGAGACAACCACGAGCGGCGGTAATGAGAGCGGCAGCGACAGCTCCTCCACCACCACAACCACAACCAACACCACAATCACCTCTTCGAACTCCGTAGACGACAACGCCCGAGACCAGGAGAACATGCCACCTTCTCCCTCGGATTCCTCGCCGTCGCCGCCGCCCTCTGCGCCGGCGACGGCAATCAAGCCGCAGCGCCACTCACGCGTCATGTCTGGCACCGCACCCTCACCGCTCAAGCTACTCGCCGGCTCCGAGACAACGGAAAAGCAAGCGCGGAGCCCGCTTCGCAAGACAGTAATCTCGCCTGACGGCGTCAAACGCTTCCCTATCAGAGTCAGCAACCCGTCAGTCGAGCCCGCGTCACGCTCCATCTCTCCTCCGACCGTATCTCCTCCGCCTCGCGAACGCACAATCAGTCTTGAAGACGCCATGCGCGACAACGAGGGCTTGAAGCACGCTATTCAGATATTCGAGGACGATGATACGGAGCTGGAGAATGACGAGACCATTGGCGGCGACACGACCACTATGAGCGCGGGCGAGGGTGACGGAGACCACCCCGACTTGGGCCACGCGGGCTACGAGGACCAGAGCAGTCTCGCCAATCCCGATGAGTCGATGATGAGTGCATTCAGCACTTTCTCTGCCGTTCCCAATCTGACCATGTTCGCGAAACTGGGTCAGTCTCCCACAAAGTACGCGAGCGTCAGCGGCATGACCCCGCGAGGGAGGCCAGAGACCGTGCACGAGCAGCAGGAGACTCCAAGGCGGCATTCGGGACAGGACTCTGATGGTAACACTACCAATCTGTTGGAATTCACGGCCAGCCAGCGATTCCCGCACAAATCGCCGTCCAGGCGGGGCAACACCTCACCCTCCAGAGCAAACCCTAATGCCACTCCGGCCCGCCAAATGTCGAACCTCCTCGACTTTGACATTCCCGCCCTGCCTACTCCCCGCAGCATCCCGACCATTACACCCAGAGAACTCGAAAGTCTAAAGTCGAATTTCCTGTCCGAAATCAGCAGCCTCAAAGCATCGCTATTGGGCAAGGAGGCGGAGGTGACCTCTCTGAAGACGGCTGTGGGCGATGCGGAAAAACGAGTCGGCGAGAGCTTGGAGCAGGCCCGTGAAGAGCGGACGATGCGAGAGCAGGTCGCCGAAGAGAAGGAGATGTGGGAGAAGAGCAGTCGCGAGATGGAAAAGGTCCTCCGGAGCGTAAAGGAGGAAATTGTCCACACGCAGCAGGAGCGCGAGGAGCTCGAATCCAAGCTTGCAGAGAGTGAGGGACGACGCGAGGCCGCCGAGACTATGGCTCAGGAGGCCGAGAGTAAGCTGGCGAGTTTCCGCGCCGGCAAGTCCACTGACGACAAGCCCTCCTCGCCCAGGGGCGGTGCGGCCGCGACCTCCAAGGAGGTTGAGATTGCGGTGGAGCGCGTGGCCCGCGAGCTGCACGCTCTCTACAAGGGCAAGCACGAGACCAAGGTTGCGGCGCTCAAGAAGAGCTACGAGACCCGCTGGGAGAAGAAGGTACGCGAGCTGGAGGTCAAGATTGAGGAGCTCACCGAGGAGAACGACAAGATCCGCCGAGACAGCACCATCACTCGCGTCGATCCCGCCCAGGTCGCCGCCGAAGAGGAGTTCAAGGCCCAAGCCGTCCGCGACTCAGCCCACATCAAGGAGCTCAGCGCCGACGTCCACAGGCTTGAGGCCGTCGTCATGTCGGTCAAGAGAGACAACTCGGAGCTTCGCGACCTCCTCGCCCAGGAGCGCGTCGAGAAGGGTGAGCTGGTTCAGCTCGCCGAAGAGATGATGGCGATCCAGAACGCCGCGCCTCCGCCGCCAACCCCGGCGCCCAAGCCCGCGCCGACACCTGTTGCCTCGCGGACACCCGGTCCCCCGGTTAGAAGCCACACGGAGAACAACTTCCGCAGCAGCATCGGCCGCAGCTCGGGCCTTAAGGCGCCCGGATCCATTGCCGCGCGTGGCTCCCTTCACGAGCGTAACGGTAGCGCTGGTCCCGCCACCAAGGGCCTTCCGAGACCCAGGCCGATGAGTGAGTTCGGGCCCCGGAGCGGCATCATGAGCTCGATCGAGAAAATGGGTAACTATCGCGGACGCGGGGACTAGAAGACCCAGTCGTCTTGATGAACAAACGGCCTCCTTTTGAATTGGTTGGTAATACCATACCTACCTTTTCTTCTATTTTCTTTTCTTAATTTCTAAATTTACCCACGAAACGAACGAAACCAAACGATGAACGGAACAAAGCATTACAGTGGCGGATGGAGAGTGAAAGACAGCAACTGTCTGAGTGGAGTGAAGATGATGAAGGGGAAGCAAGGAGAGAAGAAGCAGAGGAAGAAGACGAAGAGCATTGACGTAACGAACTGGCGTCTACGGGGTCCTGTCTTTCCGGGCTTTTTTGCTTTGGTTATTTCCATGCTTATGGATAACAGGGCTTTTGTTTATTTGTTCCAACTCCCCTGAAATGACACTGAAATGACTATAAGGGAAAAAAGGGACACGAAACGAGAGGCGGTGGCGTTTTTGTTAATCTTGGTTGGAGACGTTCTTGTTGTTGTTTAATGGGCGACGACCGTTACACTTCCCCTCCCCCTTTTTCGTGTTGGAGTTTTGACCATACCTGTTGGACGAGTTAAACTCCACGTTCTGGAACCCAACACCCTTTCTTCTACCATAACTCTTTGAATTGGTAATGTTCAGTTTTTTTATTGCACATATTCAACTTTTCTCCCTCTCCGTTGTTCGTGTGTGTGTGTGTGTGTGTGTGTGTGGGTACGTTTTATATATTGCGTGTTGAGGGTGGTGTGGGCAGATGAGGATGTGAGTCTGAGTGTGGATGTAGGGCGAACTACAAGTACGCCTTTTCTGGCTATTGTCTAATCTCTCGGGCCTGGTGCCTCGCGGCGGCGGTGCTGTGTGTATCTGTCTTGTATGTTTTGTTATGGATACGTGAAGTCCGCATGACGGTGCCGTCTCTTGTTTTTCGGGAAAGATGGGACTGCTGAGGTGGTCTGCGAGCTCATGGGATGACGAACTATTTGGAGATCCTGCCATGGGATGGATGGTTGGCGTCTGGAGATCCGATCGATAGTGTTATTGTCGCGGGATGAGGTGGAGATGGTGGTGGTTAGCTTCTTGAGGACGTAGTTAGGCGGAAATTGGAAACTGTGCACGAAAGATGGATGAATGGATGCTTGTGTGTGTGTGTGTGTGTGTGTGTGTGTGTGTGTGTGTGTGTGTGTGTGTGTGTGTGTGTGTGTGTGCCCTCCATCTATCTTTTCATGTGAGATGGCGAAGTTTCTACAATGGGGACAACGCACATTGCGAGATCCCGTCTGCCGATCTGTTTCCCTGGTAAATACAAGCCCATCCGAACACCAGGTGAGGGAGGTTCTTGACGTTGACCTGGAATAAGTATACACGTGCAGGCTGTGGAAAGGCATCCCGAAGTCTTGATATCAAACATCTGGCTTCAATAGAAAGCAACTGTACTAATAATGACTGACTGTAAATCGCAATATTAGTTCATAGACATGTTTGCACGCCTACGACACACCTGTCTGTCTTTTTGATATGATGATGGCCGGCCTTATTCATGATACGCAGTCGGTCAGACGCAGAAAAGGAAGTCCCTGAGGCGGGAATGCACTTCGTGCACCCATTTGAATGCTAATTTAATAATCTGAAACCATCGTGTACAGAGGAATGAGCGCCAAAAGTAAAAGATTCCGAAACCGAGAATCGAACTCGGGGCTATGCCTAACCTCTCACAGAGATGAGAGGGCATCATGTTGGCCACTACACCATATCGGATGTGGATGTCTTTTTTGCAGAAAAACTCAAATCAGTATGTTAGCGGCCCCACCACCGCCCACGATGTACGCGCAAACTGCAGTTTCCCTCCGCCAGTACATGGTATTCCTGTCCTAAGATACTTGAATAATTTGGACAACAATATTTAGTAAATTTGTTCCCGTTCTCATGAAAAGGTTATGCTCGCGTGCAGGACGAAAGTTCTTCGACCAGGATGTCGGAAGAGCAAACCTAGATGATGGGTGACATTGACGACGGAGGGAGATCGATGGTTCAGCATGCTGAACCTCATACTCTACAGTTCACGACTCCTTTGAGTGATTGGAAAGAGGAAATTTTCCTCCAGAAATTTAGCTCGGGAATGATAGATACTCAGCAAAAGAATTGTGACCTCTTAGCTCATTGGCATACATGTTAGTCGAAACCGCATACTAATAACTTCGGATGACATGATGATGCTCACCCTCCGACTTCCCATCATCACGTGAAGCCGCGGTGCTTCGAATTGACTTCATTTCGTGCATCTTTTTCCCGTAAGGAAACATGGCTCTTTGATGTTCCTCGTCCCTATGCACCCTCGACGTCAGGGATGAGATGGCCGTGAGGTCGAATCGCGTGGTATGTTCAAAGCACAGTTAGCTTTCCGTGCTATCAAGGCTGATAACTTGATAAAGCGGCCGTATTCTTACCAAGCTAGCTAGAAATAAGTCGTGGGGCGCTGAAACGTGCGGCCTCTGCGTCCGTCGTCTGGCATCATCCAACATGAAGCCACAAAGGAGTAGAGGAAATGATCCTATTTGTAAGTAGCTGCGACATAGCCATCATACTGTTGCAGATAACTTAGAACATCTCTATCTGTGAGAGCCTGGGAGGTTCATGTGAGCCCGCCGCTATGGCTCTTCCTGAACGTTGTACATTACGCTATATATACGACATACCCATCTTAATCCAGTGGGTTCTTCGAACCAGTTCGAGTTCATCACGAGGTGGTCCAACCTGTACTCACCCGTGAGAATCGCCTTTGCAGTGCCAGTCACCACAGCATATTTCACATAAGTCTAGCCATGTCGGTTTCCATGCACGATCCTACTTCACTCGCGACTTCCCCTCGTATTCTCTAGTGTAGTCGAGGTGAATACTCATTCAGAGATGAGTGGTGAACACTGGTGGTTAAGATTTCTTGATCTGGAAGTGACAACCACATGTTTCTCATCTCTTACATTTTAGGACTGGTTGGAACTAGGTTCAGAGAAATAAAGGACCATTATGCTGGTTTCTCTGCAGACCCAAAAATCATACAGCCTGCCAAAGAGACGCTTGTAAGATGGAACAGACTGACATTGCTTAAATAGGTATGCCGGAAATGCCAATGTCTGATAAGTACACGGCACGGAGTAGACACACGAGTGAGACTATACGGCGGCAAGAGGCACTCTTGGTCAAGTTTGCATAGTCACCACAGAGTCGCCTTATGAGGCACCACGAGATTTATTTCGAATATACACAAGGATCCGTGTCGACTCAAACATGGCATAGAAAAAGTCAGGCAAAGATACGAAAACCGACATATTCATCTACCAAATACCATCTCACGAAGATAAGGGCACTTAAGAGGAAATATCTTGTTGCCTACTTATCCGTCTTCAACGGAGTCACGAGCGAGCAGATGATTAACGTGTCAGGCAAGAACAACTTTACATGAAGTCCATCACTGCTTCCTGACCATGCCAGCAAAATTGTGCACCAAGCACTCTAAACACATCACCACACCACCAAAATTGGCTTCCCACACACACATAGTAGTAACAAAGCCTTGTCTGTCACCCACCTAGAAAGCTTGGCTCTAAAGTCCCATGCCCTTCCATGCCACCCCCTCCAAGGCCCTCTCCACTCTCAGCCGCAAGAAAATAAGAATCAACCATCTGTCTCCTGCAGCCTTCCTGCAAGAACCCCCTTTCTTCTCGTATAATTCTTCCTTGGTAGACTTGGCCCCGAATGTCTCACCTACCTGTAGGCAGATGTGAAAATCCCGTAAAACGTCTACGTCGAATTGTGAGACCAGGGATAGACAGCGGCAGATCTGCAGAGCTGCATGTCATATCCCGCAGTACATCAAGGAAAAAGGAGCTGCCCAACGACACGGCGTGTCCGAAGTTCGAGTGACAAGCTATCAGCCTTACGCCCGAGAAGAACCGTGGAGGGTGCAGAGAGATAGTTCGTGTGGAGACCGGAGCAAAGAAAAGACGAATTGGGTGTGAGGCAGATGTCATCGAGCCCGCTGTCCGGGCCTGCATTACGGACGTAAATCTGACAACGTCAAATCGGGAACTCGCCGTACAACATGAGCAAAGTTGCTTAAGCTGGGCATCCATTATAGCCGACTGTCCAGTTGAAAAAGAAACAAGTACGGCCCAGCCTCCCCCTGCCGAGTAACATTTCCTCAGATTCTAATTTCAACCTCCCCTTTACACGGCATCACTCGACTCTTACCTCATCTCCCATATCTTCCAGTACCATCTAGTCCATAAGACTGGTCGGGCAACCAGCCGCCAATCCATGGCAACCAACGTACGTAGCAATCTCTTAAATGATCAGAGTGACACCTCTCCGTACGCGACGTAAGATCGCGCCGCATCGGCGGAACACACATACACGCAGACGGTCTTCTTCCCGAGATGTCGTCGTCCACGGTTCTCGACTTCTCGGAGGCCCGGGCGTCCGGGACGACACCACCGTGCACCGCGGGGGGTGGGGGGGGGGAGGAAGCGGGGTGGCACCGTGCTGCTGCCTGGTGTTCGGAAGGCGACTCTACACGGAGAAGAAGACCCGAATCGGACCTTGAGCGCCGGGGCGATGGGAACGATCAATTTTCCAGCTTTTCCAGCCTTCCAAAGCTCAAGCTCATTCCCATACTACCTGACTTGAGCCCCCCCCCCCCCCCCCCTGGTTTAATCGTGTATCTTGATTTCGTGATCCTGATGTTCATCTGAGGTGGTATCTTCTCGTACCATCTTCAAGGTGCCTGGAAACGTCTCCATCACTGGGAAGTTGTCGCTAAACCAGAACGCATAATACGGATGTTGGATGGAGACAAGAATTGAGACTACTAGAATATAATGTGACTCTCTGTAGGTATATCGGATTAGCTCCGTGGAGAGATTCCTCAAACCCCGACTACGCCACTTGGATGGATAGGAAATTATAACGCCCCTCTTCTTCTTCTATAGCTTCGTGAACAAGAATGCTGAACTGCTGTATTGCGTCTACGCGACTGGTAACATGCAAATCCAGGCAACACTTCCCCGTAGCTTCGATGTTACAGCACTAAGATCAGAACGACGCTCGCGAGTGTGACGTGGGGGGTTGGAAGCGGTGGGATGCCAATTGCTACCATGTCCATTCTGCCTGTGCAGCAAAGCTGTCTGTAGCCTCCTCTCCTCTCCTCCCCTCCAAGCTCGTATATCCAGTATGACTCTCTCTTCCTCTCTGATCTCCAAACCAAGGTGGTAACACTCATCCCTCTCTCTCGATGGAATGAGATCGGAAGGGGTGGGCAGGGTAGCTTTCTTGCACTTTACCACAATAAACATCTGAATGGTCCCATCCCATTAAATCTCGGCAGTTGAGGGCCTTGGCAGGGCCAAAGAAAAACAAAAGTATATCGGAAACATGGGAAGAACGTGGCTAAACGGATCCCTGATCATCTCCCAGAAAAAAAGTTGCGCAGTACGGCATGCTATCATTCATGTCATTGTGCCTGTTTGTTTTTGCAATCCATTGGGGCGGGTTGGTTAGTCGTGCGTTCGCGGCTGAAAGGCGGTTTGTTTTTCTTATTCTTGTCTCGTTTCTTTTTCTATCCCGTCCTTCCATCTCCATGTGCCCCCCTTCCTCCGCGGGCCGTTGTACGCGGGCACAGCCGAGCTATGCTTATGCTAGGTCAAGGGGTTGGGCTCCCTTATGTTTTGGCAGCTGGCAGCGCTCAATCTTGATATCGTGTTTCGTATTGAGATGTTGGGCTTGAGAAGGGGGAAAGGGTCCTCTTGATCCCCCCTTTGAACCGAAAGGAAATTGGAGGATGTCAAATTATTACGTTGTTCGAAATATCAGCCGGCAACGCACACAGTGTTGACAAAGTTGGGAAGACGAGATTGTGATAGTCTGGATGCGAAAGTAAGACAGATTAGATGTGTAACTCTGTTGTTATGCCGCCAAATGGTCTTGGAAGTCTTCTAGCGCGCTTTCTGGTGTTTCGAGGCCTCTGCTTCCGGCACGAGTTAATCATCCCAAGGCCGTCCGGTGATATGTAGCGCCGGCTTCAACGTCAGCTCCAAGCACCCCCTGGGCCGGGGAGAATAAGACTCGTTACCGGGTGATGGCTTTTGGGTCTAGGGGAGTGCCATTTCGCCGCGCGTGTTTCAAGATAGCGACCCTAAGCTCGTGGCTGCGATTCCCTACGCGCCTCGTGTGATGACTGACGGAGTCAACGCACCGAGGCAGGCAGGCAGGCAGGGCAGAGTTGCAGCACTTCTGATAGACGCAGCCCCGTACTTCTTTGGGACACTCAGTCTAAGCTGTGCCGTGAGCCGCGGTAGACTCACACTTTGGAAAAGGTTTTGAAACCAAACGATCTTGTAGCCTCCGCTAGCTGAACGATGGGCATTGAACTGGGCTGGGAGGCCGTCCCAAAACTTTCGTCTCCTAATGCCTCCAGACCCCCACCCTCGTGAACTTCACCGTAGATACGTCACACTGCTGTGCATATGGATCATAAGGACGGCAACCATGTCGGCTTGTCCATAGAGTTTGTCAGTTTCTCGAACATCTGTTTCCCGAGGCCTAGTGTGATTGGGTTGACCCTCTCCTGCCGACGTCTGGCAATGGAGATATATTTGGATCACGACAAGTGAATGCCGAGGACACACGAAAGGGCGGGGAGTCGTCCGATTGGATGGCTTCAATTTCCACGTCGTGTTTGCTTTCTCTCCGGGCGTGGGGGACAGACAGCGGGAATCGAGGCGTCTCGTTGCTTCCATCCATACAGTGTGACGGCATAGACGAAGCTGTAGACAGCCTATTCTTTGTGTCATTTGGGAATTTAGGAGGTTACTGTTCTTTATTTAGCCTCACCGAATTAAAGACACGGCAAGAATAAGACAATTGGTGACAAGACCTGATTTTGGAAATTGTAGTTCTCAAGTTCTTCGATAATATATTGGCTTCAGAGGTGGAGCGCCTCGAGACGTCGTTCCGTTCAAGTAGAATGACAGCGGTAGAAAAATGGTAAATAATGAAATTGTTGGCCAAGAATTCAATTTCGTGAGTTCTGGCTGTATCAACTCGAGTTCAACCTCCTCCGGCTTATGGTCGTTGAATGCTCAAACACTGACCTGGACATGAGTGCTTCAGCCCTTGGAGTGACAGCGAACCCATCCTCAATTGTGACGAAGGCCGAGGGAAAAAAGCAACTTGACACAGGGGACGTGAGGAAAGCAATCAGTTTGTCGGCCGGATGCTGGCCTGATTCGGCCCTGATCATTGGTCCTCTCAAATGTTGACCGTTGGCTAGAACGGCCAACTCGAAGACCGGGCTTAGAGGACGTCCCACTAGAGAAGTAGATCGTAAGAACGGAGTCTTCATACTCTTGCCTACCGGAACGGCAAAGACTGCCGAAGACGGGATTGCAAAGACCGAATGAGCCCCGGATAAAAGCTGGGCCAATGCATGTTGAACGGGGCCGTGCTGCCGCAGCCGGGAACTAACATGGTGCGGCATCAGGCTCGATACTTTGTTTCGGAAAGCAAGAAGCGCGAGAATCTCATGCGAGCGAGCCTCTTGCGGAGTCCGCCCCGGAAGACTGGATCTGGCACGAGGCTGGTGAGACAGCGGCTCGGCAGAGAGACGGGTTGAGACATGAATGCTTGCATTGTGTATGCTACTCTATGTCCGTAGCAGGTAGGTCGTTCCATGTACGTACGGCCGAAACCGAAGTTTGTGCTACAAACAGTCTTCGAAGCCGTCATGGAAATAAGATGAATGAACTCTTCTTACTTGCACAGACTGTCAACCGCGTATATTGGGCGGTCAAGCGCAACCACAGTCACAATAGCTTAATGACGTCGAAGCAACTGGTCCGGGCGTCTCGTCTCGTGATGTTGATGTGCTGCGGAAGCTATTTGGCGAGCACCAAGGCCGACCCTGTTTGCAGGGCGGGCCGCGGTCGCCAGGTCGCGAGAATGGGCCGGATGAGCATATGCAACTGTTGCAAGGGAGAGCAAGCATGATGAAAGTTTTTTTCCTTCCCTTTCGTGTCCCCTCTGTCCCGATTCTCTTTACTGAATCAATAGAAATCCGACAACCAACCACCACCGAGAGAGGTTCGGGGGTGGCTCGGGCAAGGTGAAAACGGCGGTTTGGAGAAGAGATAGAGGGGTCGAAAGGCCGAGCGGTGGTTGGAGAATGTGGGCGTTAGTCCTTGGTGGGTACCGCCTGATTACCTCCGATTGGGTGAAGCGGCCGGCGCCGAGTGGGGTGTCGTTCCGGTACTGCCTTAGCGGCTCCCAATCGTCATCCCATGTCTGGATTCTTCTGTACCTAGGTGATGCCTCAGGCACAAGGAGATTGAGAGTCTGCACTCTGCAGAGAGTGGCAGACAAGCGCAAGGCACGAACTGTGTAAACGTGGACCTCCCGACCCCAGCCGTTCTGGCAGGCATCACGGCATCTACAGGTTCGGTCAGCACCTTGCTGGGCGAGGGATCCGACTTGGTGATGAGAGTGAGAGCGGGCGGTTGGTCTGTGAGGTGCATGCATTACTAGTGTCCATTGTGGGCATCGGTGGGCAACTTTTTGGGAGCCACATCTGAATTGCCCAGTAGAAATCGGGTCAAGGGCCAGGTTTTCAGCAGTGGCATGAGCGGTGCGAGTCTGCTGCTGCGAGCGAATGGTCAGCATCGTCAGGCAGAGGTACGGATAGAGGTGGCAGGACTGGTCGCAGGCACGGTTTTCCTTCTCTCTTCTCCGGCACGTGCATGAACGGAAGCACACTTGTACGTCTCCAATATGTCGCCTGTACTGCGGAAGTTCGTACGCCGCCGGCTTCGGTTGCCTCAGATGCTTTTGACTCAGATACATCTTGCGGTGACTGAGACTTCGCTGTTGATGATGCTTGATAACGCGACGTCTAATATACCGTCGGCATGAACTACTAAACCTAGGTCGATAGCTTGGCGGCCAACGAGCTGACGGGACCAGGCACATAAGCTGGGGTAGCTACCCTAAGTATCGGTAGAGAACTAGGGTCAGTAGTTTAGATCACATCATCAGGCAATTCATGAAGCGATTTGTGGTGAAGAGATGGTGGTTTGGAGGGACCAGACTGGCCTGGATCTCGGTCTAGGAAAGGGTTGATCTCTTGACTCTTCCAATCGTTGTCAATGGCATGTTTGCCCTGTTATCCTAATTCGAGGTCCAGCTCCGTGTCCAGGCCCGGGACAGCTCTAGTTCCCTCGTCGTCTACTGACCACTAGTCGATTGACCTTGACTAGGGCGGGTCGCAGACAGATACCAGACCGGGGCAAGCAAGCTATGGTCCAGACGGTTAAGCTTGAGCTGGATTTTTGCGATAGTGTGCGCTCGTAGCTGCAGCTGCCAGGTATGTCTGGCTGTCCGCAAATACTAGGCAGGCACGACGATTATTGCTCAACTTCCCAGTTAGTGGTCGCATGGACTCTACCGGGGAGTGAAGCCGCTCGGCGAAGGCAACGAGAAGGTAAACGCCTGGATGACCTAGTATACCACTTGGAGTCACGAAATTAAAGCATCGTGCTCAGTGTCCAGCTTGTACGGTGTATCGAATGAAATGCGAGAGGGCAAGAAACCCCCCCTTGGCGAACATGTATCGGAAGAAATGGAAGAGACGCAGATGCAGATGCAAAGTCTGCCCTTGGAAAGCTGACCAAAATTGGACCAGGTATATTCGTATCGGTGTCGACCGTTCGGACGGGATAGCCTCCGCCACGACGGTGTACCCACCTCATTCGCGAGGAAAAGAACGAACGGTGGCATATGTCTGCCTCGGTCAACTGGGGTGAGACCAACTTTGTTTCTGCGTGCCACAATAATTCCGTGTTGACTTTCGAAGATAGCACTGGATAAGATAGAACAAGACGAGTAAATTCAGGGCGAAGGACAAACAACTGTGGATATGTCACAGTTTCCGTTAGTAAAGAAGTGGTGAACGATCATCGAAGATACCTACGGCACTTAAAAAACTAGAGAAAAAAGCTGCTCTCTGGCGTGTCTGGCCCGCGAGTGTAGCATGTGTGGGTGGGCGGGACTGAGCGGGAAGATGGGCTGCTGCGTCAGCGCGGGATGTCAATTGGACCCAATGGAAGACCAGCCGGTTCGTTCTTGAGGACAGCCGCGCTAATGTTGGAAGGAGGAAACATGCAGCTCGCAACCCGCAGCTGCAATCGGAGCCCAAGCCGGCGTGGTGTCGTTGTAGTCCTGACCAGGCAAACGTCACCTTGCACAGCGCAGGGAACCCCGTGGGCCGTACCCCTAGCTTGACTCTCGAGAGCTTCTCTCCATTAACATGGTATCCGTAAGTTAGGTAGGAATCTGACCGCGGCGAATGGAGGGTAGGGCGGCAGTGGGCGGTTGGCTGTTGGCATGAGTCCCTGTATCCGCCGAGTCCTCGTCCTCGTCCTCGTCCTTGTCCCCGTCATCCCTCGTCCACAACATACGGGTGCGAAAAGGGTAAATGCACCCATCCGCTGCTGAGCCTCGCCGTATTCTGTGTCGCGGGGTTTGCTCGCCCAGGGCCGGCGCGGCTGGGGCTCCATCTCCATAGCCGTCTGTGTTCCATAACAACGTCCAGATTGAAGGCGGGCTCGCAGCCTCGCTCTTGATTCAAGAACCTAGTGGTAGGTAGGATCTGCGTACATGGACCGTCGGCAGCTTGGAGACGCTTGTTGTGGCTGGAGCAGATGCTTGGTAATTACCTAGTACCTTGCCTCATGGAATTGTTTCTGCTCCAGCGTCATCGGGTACATCAGCCACATGGCTTGTCGGCGGCCGTCCGATTGATGGTTTGTGGTTTGTGGTTTACGATTTGCCGTCATGGTTTCAAGCTGGCCAAAAATTCAACGCATACGTCTTGTTATCAATCTGTGACGTGATGTCGGGTACTGTGTACCTTCTTATTGGGGTGAAGTGCGTGCTTGGAGCAACTTGCCAGAAACGGTGTGCGTGATACAAAACCGCAGGAACGATAGGTCAGGTAAAGTAGGTACCTTCTGTGCTTCCTCGTCCGTAGCTCCTGAACAGTGGAATGCTGGTTCCTTCCATTTTTCATGATCAAGGTTGGGGTACGGAGGAGGCATACCAGATACCTGTACGGAGTACGTACTCAATACTGGGGGCTGCCATTGCAGCCTGTCTGCATTTTGCCTGCATCCTGAGGTGTTATTCACAAGCAACCTGTTCCTTCTTTCCAAATGGGATGCAACCAGGAACTACTCGCTACCTGCCGCGATTGAACTCGGCGAATCAGAAAATTTGTCCATCATGAAGGGGGAGGGGGGTAGGTGGAAAAAGGAAGGCACCACATCACCAGACACATACTGCGTAGGTAAAGCAACTGACAATTGCATTGATATCCATCTCTGGCATCATGATCAGAGAATCACGAGAAGAAGAAAGGCATGCTGCATTCACACAGCCAGTAGAGTTGCCCAAACAATGCCTGATGAATCTATCTCGCTTCACCCTCCCAGGTAATTGTTGTGGTTGTTGTTATTGTTGTTATTTTGAACGAGGCAGTTGCAACTTGCTGGCTGGCTACCCAAGTTACCTTTGTTTGTTATATCAGGTGCGGATACGTCGCCGCATTCCATCCATCGCTTTCGTGCGCGCGCTTGTTTTTTTTTTGGTCCCCCGCTGCATACCTATCCGTTCAAATCGTTTCTGACATTCATACCTACCTTACCTCACCTTACTCACCTTCTCACCTCAAATCCTATTTGTACGTGGTTCCTTCAAACGACATCCCAAACCGGCCAAGGCTGTACATTGCCCACTGTTCCGCCGCCGCTCCTCGGGTTAAGAATTAAAATCTTTTTGCCCGCTGATTCATTCCTTTTCCCCCTCACCACGTCTTTAGACAGAAACACTAACGGTATGTTTACGCATCCATCTCACCTTTGCAATCCCTCCACATCACCCTCGTGTGCTGGACCGAGCGCATACTAGACAGCGTCTTGCTGGTCTTCCGTCGCCGGCTTCATCCTTGATCATTGCCCCTCCTACCCCGTTGATTGCCCTGCTGCCTCGCCTTCCCCCCTCCAGTCGTCCATACAGCTCAATCCACTTTCGTCAGCGCCTTCTCCTCAATCGGCCCAGCCTATCCCTTCGCCAATCTGTGGTTACTGGTCACTACTGCGTACACTAATTGTGTACGGAGTACAGAGTCCCGTGTGGTCTATCCATATCCTATCGTCGGATACTGGAATTTCCTTACTGCAAGTCGAGGCATCATTGGAACAGGGAAAAGGGGCGAGAGAAAGGCATCTTCATATCTCAACACTGGGATAGCTCGTGATACTGACTTGGAGCTAACTTGGAGGTTTGTCCAGTCGCTGTCATTTGATTCGCTTGAATCAGCATTCTCCAACTCCGACCGACGTCTCACGACGAACCGAGCCGACCAGAGCTTGCCCTTGTCCGCATCTCGGAGGGACGACAACGCTACCGGCATACCGTGACAATCGCCAATCCATCATCCACGCCATATCCCGATCCTCGTCTTGCGCATTGCGGATTGCGGCTTGCCTCAATATTCCCATATCCTTACCTGGGCCTACCTTACCACGCGCAAGGAACCAACCGCGACTAAACGATTCATCGAGGTCGAACCACTACTGCGTACGCTACGGTATTGCGATAGCGTACGAATACACTACTGCGTGGTCTATCAACCTCGCACCACACACCAACAAAGGTACGTTCTCCGAAGTGACGCCAGCACCAATAATCCAGGTACCCTGCCCTGTCCTGCCTTGCCTTGCCTTACCTCACCTCACCTTACTGCATGCGTACGCTACGCAGTAGGTACTACGCTCCCTCGAGAGTACGTACCGTATCGCACCGCATAGCACCGCAACCCTCGCCTGCTTCTGTCTGCTGCTTTGCGCCGCTGGTGCTGTTGCCGCTGCCGCTGCCGCCGTCGACGCTGTTACCAACAAACCCCAACCAGCCGGTGGAATTGGAACTGCTTGCTGTGGCTCGCTCGCTCGCTCGTCTCCAACCCGTCCCTACACCCCTGTCCCCTTGTCGACCCCCTCCCACTCCCACTCCCACTCTCGCTGCCACTCAGTCCCCTTCCCCGTCCCATCCCGGCCAACCCAAGTTACGGCGGATACAGAGCTGGGTGGCTCGGGTTGGCGCGTGGAGGTAACGAGGGTTGACAGCCTCTCAGGAGAAGGGCGGGCTAGCCAACAGTCGGCTGTGCGCCTCCGCTCCGCTTCGCCTTTATCCCGGTATCATCCTTCTCCCTAACCCAAGCATCTAACACAAGCCCAGGTCCCAAGCTAGACCCGCCAGTCCAGTCAGTGTCTGTCATTTCTCCACACCTTTTGCCCATCCAAGAAGACGAAGAAGACGACAAGACGAGACGAGACGAGACGAAGGAAAGAAAGAGAAAAGCAAGCCAAACAAGCCCGAGGGTCAGACAGGAGGTCATACGGCCTGTGTGCGCGCAATCGTCCTGTACTCGTACATACACATACCTAAGCTGCCCGCACCGATTCGCATCCGCAACGCGCGACCGTGTGCCAACCTGTCAGTTGCCAGTTGCCGGCTCAGCCCAGCCTACCTTAGCCCCGGCCAAGCCAAGGCAGAGAGACAGACGAAGAGAAGAGGGTGAGCGAGAGAAAGAGAGAGAAAAAGAGAGCAGGGACAGACGGCACCCACCGCGAGCGACCCCTCCCCAGTCACAGTGCTGCGTTGGTGCTTGTTGGTGCCGCCGCTACTGATACTACCGCTGTCGCTGCTGCTACGTATTAACTGGCTTGTCGGGTCCAGTCCGGTCGATCCAATCCACCAGTCTGCTGAGGAGAGAGTCCACTGTCCACGTCCAGGGCTCGGGCTCCAAAATCCAACAAGATTTGGGCTCCTACCTTGCTCCCCAACTTCCTGCGGCCACCACCAGTCCACCACAACCACCACCTTTCGGCCTCCACTAACCTACCACTTGCTGCCACCAACCTTGCCTACCTTACCTATCCGTACTTACCTACCTGTCTTACCCTTTTTTTTTTTTCTCACCTTGCCTATTCTATCATCGATTCTCGACTGGCGTTCGTCGTCTTTTCCTCCACCACCACCACCTTCACAATCACCGACGAACCACCACCACCACCACCACCACCCACCTCGCGTTCCGCCCCCGCGAATCGCCCCTCTATCTCTGCTTCGCTTTGACTTTCGCTACTCATCATCAATCGAGCGGCTTTATTCCAACGACAAAGAGTCGACTTCTTTCCATCGTTCTTCGCCTCAGATAGCTGCCCATCATGGCAGGAAAAATGGTGCTGTACAAGTTGGTGGTCCTGGGCGACGGCGGCGTGGGGAAGACCGCTTTGACAATCCAGCTCTGCCTGCAACACTTCGTGGAAACAGTAAGTCGCCATTTCTGTTCGTTTTGCTTCGCATCACATCGTCACTTTCTTTTCTTCGGTCGGTCGTCGACTCTCTCTTGACCCCTTCCCCCAAATCCATCCTTTCCCCGCTGCTATCGCCCCCAAGAGCCGCCCGCTGACCGTGCTTTTCTACCGAAAACAGTACGACCCCACGATCGAAGATTCGTACCGCAAGCAAGTTGTCATTGATGGGCAAGCATGCATGTTGGAAGTTCTCGATACTGCCGGCCAAGAAGAGTACACAGCCCTTCGAGATCAATGGATCCGAGATGGAGAAGGATTCGTTCTCGTCTATAGCATCTCATCACGATCTTCGTTTTCACGGATCAAGCGGTTTCATCATCAGATCCAGCGAGTCAAGGAGTCATGTGCATCCTCACCGTCATACCCGGGCTCGCCAATCTCTGCAGCCAGCCCACAAGCGCCTGTACCAATTATGCTGGTCGGCAATAAGAGCGACAGAGTCACCGAGAGAGAAGTTTCGACACAAGAAGGACATGCCCTGGCCCGCGAGCTGGGCTGCGAATTCGTCGAGGCCTCGGCCAAGAACTGCATAAACGTCGAGAAGGCCTTCTATGACGTTGTCAGAATATTGAGGAGGCAGCGACAGGCCGCCTCGAGGCCGCAGCCCGGCGGACGAAGCAGCACTCGGCCTATCAATGGCGATGCCGGAGCGAGATACGACGACAAGGAGGGTGGCGACCGCTATCGTCGCAAAGTGGGCAGAAGGGAAGGGAAGAGTAAATGTGTCGTCTTGTGAGCTCGTCCGCAACCTCGACTTTTTATTCCCCCCCTTTTTATCGACGGACTTGTTCGGATCCACGGCAACACCCCCGATCCATTCGATTCGCAAATCCGACGGGCCCACTGCCGCGAGGCAAAAGCATTTTCCACGTCACGACTTGATGATTGCCAGCATTAGAGAAGCGCTGGCAAAGGCTTTCACAGCCACGACTATTGGACGTACGAGATCTCGAGTTCTGCTTTGAAGACGATTCGGACATTTTCCCCCATGTCACGGATGAACAACCAGCTCCTCATTGGGCGAACGGCGCACGAAAAGAGAGAGGCATATTCTGGGGCGTAGGTTTCTTGAGATTCAATCAAACCTTTGGGCAGACTGGGAGTTCATAATTTTTTTGTTCTTTCCAAACAACACATGAGGGCAAGCTGGCGGTGGTATAGGAGTCTTTCTTACAGACCTTTTTTTTTGACGTCTAGTCGGTCGCAAAAGAAAATGATGCCATGTATCTGCACACTTCCACTCCCGGATTGTTCATATGTTTGTGGTTTGGATTCCTCACATGGACCATTCATATCCGCGCACGCGAGCTGAGAAGGAGGTCTGCTTGGAGAAGGAGAGGCTGAAGGGCTGTGGCAGATGGGAGGAAGCTCTAATCTGTGTATACCGATACAACACTTGTTTTCCTAGCTGCAGCACGTGGCTGGAAGTAGTCACTTTGGGGAGATAGCCACAAGAAGGTATCAACTCTCTGTCGGACGTAGATAGACATCCGGGATAGGCCTACTTGTTCCTCACTAAATCTACATCATCCGCTCATCCATCCTTGATTTTCCGATCATCTTCCGCCCGATGCTTGATTTGCCGTGACGGCACGCCTTACCGGGAAACTTTACCACAAATGGGCGTTGCTATTGACGAAAGAGGGTTGCTTGATGGGAGCGAAAATCATGTATGTATCGGGAAAAGCTAGCGTTGTATCTCGGAAACTATGTTGCTTTTCCCCCCTTCCTTCCTGGACAGGTCTTTGGGGGGAGAGGAAGTTGGAGAGAGTGTCTTGGAGGGGGAGCGGAGGATTCATGAAGAGCAATGGTAGTGTACACACAGTAAGGCAAGGGAGAGAGGAGAGGAGGACCGCTCTGGGCGCAAGACGTGCGCGCGTCTCGCCTTCTCTGCCCGCCGTACCCCGCGATTTCCGCTCCCTCGGGACTTTATTCTTGGATGACGGATGGGAGGGGAAGGGGGGAGGGGGGTGTGAGTTGTAGGAAAGTCGGACTTTTTTTTGGCAACGGTTTTTTGTTTTGCACCTTCAAGGGCAGGCAAGGTAAAGGTCGCTCACTCACTGTAAGGGAGGGGTGGCGAAGAAGCCAAGAAGGATAGGAGAGGGTATCAGGGCATCTACGGCAGCACGTCCCGGCAATGAGGAAGGGTGGATGGTCAAGTGAAGCATAAGACTGCAGATGCGGAGGAGACGGGGAAAGCTAGTGAGAGAGAGACGGGGTTTTGGGAGATGGAAATGCCGCCTTCTTTTTTTCATTAAGGGACGGGCGTGACGGGGCCGTATATGTTCCCGCATTCTCTCTAGACTATTGAGATTGGTGGTTTAAGAAACACTTACCGTTTGCGAAAGCCGGGTTCTCGGAGTTTGAGTGGGCATAGAGGGGAGACGCCCGAATAGAGATATTACCTCGTTCAAGGGAAGCTTTGTATATGTGTGTTGTGAATTTACGTTGAGGTGTTTGGACGGCTTGGCGGTCTTTAGCTCCTCTCCGGGGTTTGTAAGGTATCCAAAGTTTGCTTGCCCTTTTACCACTGTCTGATACCTAGCTAGCTTCTTTGAATCCTCTTGCAGTGAGTATGGCAAAGAGGGGGGGAGAGGGGAGGGTGGTGCCTTTCTCCGGCATGGACGGGCGACGGAAAGGGGAGGAAGGGTTCAGGGTTTGGGGAAGGATACGGGAGGAAGGGGGGGAACAAAGGTTGCTATTCGTACCTTAATGGTATATGTTGGGATGGGGGAGCAGGGTAAGCGAGAGGGGATTCTGGGATCGGGGGGTTCTAGACCGATCCGCGTTGAAATGCTTCAGTCTATTAGATTCTATCTCGCGGTTATCCATATTGACAGGCTTGTTCTGTGCTCTGTACTACTTTTTCTCTGCTCTTTCTCAGCTAAGTTTGGAGACCGATAATCAATCGAGAGGCGTAAAGAAGTGTAGCCGGAAGAAGGAAAGAGGTGACGAAGACTGATCCAAAGCTCCGGTTCGATTGACATTTATCTAATCATCGGGGGGAACGTTTCGTTTCTTTGCTTTTCCGCGATGGGATTCCATAAGCAAACAAGAGCAGGATTCAGATACGAAAGAAGAAAAGGCTCGTGGGATGTAGTAGCTTCGGACTTTGGGCCGTCTCCGCGCAATGGAGGCATCGAAACAGGAGAAAAGCCGCACTCGAGCTAGCCTTTATGTTTCTTTTGTTGGGCGATGATAAAGGCATTGTTCAATGCGCCCCGTTCAAGGTGGGCTTTTATCTCCCCGGATGTTCTTGTTTCGGAGACGGGGAGAAGGAGGATATAATAGATACCTGCCAGGTACGGGCACATGCTTTTTTCTACTCTTTCCTTATGTGTTTCCAGTGGCGTTTAATAGCACGTTCATCTTTTTACTAGCTTGAACGACCGAACGGTTCATGTGAAGTGGGTGGGTGAAGAGATGTTCTCTGGAGGCAAAGTTCTGTCTGGATGTCTGTCTGGATGTCTGTCGCGGGGAGAGAGTTCCAAGGCGAAGTTGTTCAATTCATGTGGGGTATGGTGTATGCGCACCCATTTCATCTCTCAACACACACCATACACATACACAGAGAGAGAAAGAGACCGACTGACGGAACGGACGGACTGTCTCTTCTTTTTTCTTTAGTCAATAGTGGCGCGCGCCGTAGGCTTGGCTTGTCTGTCAGACTACGTGCCGGGGAAGGGGTCCAGGTGCGGGAGGCTAAGGTAGTGTGAGTGAGGGAGTGAGTGAACCCGTGTGTGTGGTGGATGTCTCTCTCTTTGGGAAACTAGCGACGAACGATGGGTTGGCGCTTTTGCGGATGGGGTCCGTGGGAAAGGGTACTGTTTAGTATATGGTGAACGGTATACGGTAGAGCTCTTTTGCTCCCTCATTCTTCTTGGTTCTTGATGAGTGGAATGGGCGGATCGATGAGTATTCCTTCCCGAGTCCTACTCAGTAATAAGGCGTGGTTTATGCGTTCTCCTTTTTTGCGGTTCCCTGCGGTTTGGGTTCCCGGGGTTCGTTCGCGCGACTGTGTGAGTGGAGAGGGAAAAGTTGGGAACCAACGGCAAGCGCCTTGGCCCGATTAGCAAAGCCAGCCATGGATGGATGGGGGGGAAGTTGGAGAATCGATGCTATCCGGGGGTGGAAAAAGGCAAGAAATTCCAATGTAGCTATCATTGGTGGTTGGAGTTCCATGGTGGGTTGGAGACCAATGGTCCGCCGCCCGTTTGAGACTCGGGCGAAGCTGCGAGAGCCGAGGCGTGCTTGGTAGGTTTGAACTACACAATATATCTTACCATTCAACGTGTGTGATGAGACCATAGCGGGTGAGTTTTGTGAGGGTGTAGACTAGGCTTCTGGTGATGAGCGGGTCTATCCGCCGAGCTTCTTTCTTTGTCGTTTGGTAGTTTCGAAACCATGGTTTGACGATTCTGTGGACGGGAGTCAAAATCACAACCCTGTGAGGCTGGATGGATGTCTGGGGTGACGGGTGTTGAGGGCACTGGGCTTGGCTTTCTCCTCTTCTTTCTCTGACCTACCCGTGGGTGAGTTCGGGAGAAGTAGAGTGTACTGACGTAAGGATGAGGGTGGTGATGAACACTGCATGTAAGGGCTACCTTAGTCTACGTGATTTCCCTCGCCTCGAGCACACTACCTAAACTACGTTTGATGGCATGGGGGAGGGGCGTTTGCGAGCGGGAACGGTGTTTGTTCGATAAGCAACTCTGGGCGCGAAGTCTATTGCGAGATGGGATGATCATCTTTGCCCTACGCGCTGTTCCAGTGACCAGTGTTTATATGTGTGTGATCCTGCTAGCCAGCATAAGATTTGCGTGGTGGTGTTTTTTTACCTTTCGACGATGCGGCTTTCTTTCCCCGGTCTGATGTCATCGTCCAGGGTATCGAGTTCTGATGACAATCCACGTTCCTAACGGAGGCACTTGAGAGGTCTATACAATCCTTCTCTCCATGTTAATGAAGGGCGCCTTGAAGTATCCGGTTCTAGCAGGGTTGTGATGTTTCTACATGCGACATATGATATGATGCCAAGTTGCGTGATGCTCGGTATTGATTCGGGCTATATGAAGTAACTTCACCATAACTCAGGTCCCAATTTGCTATTCCAGTCTGTTTCTTACTGGTGCGCCGATCTTCACTCAGACAAGCGGGGCAAAAGACTTAGCCAAAGACAGAGGCTCTGTGCGCATTCTCTTGAGGAGCGAGCAGCCTCGGGTATTCTTCTATGCATGGTCCACGGCATTTGCTCGTGTCTTTTGAAGCCTCGGGTTGGAGCAAAAGAGCCAGTAAGCTGGATCTCTCTCTCATGTCGTTCATTCTTTCGCTCCATAATCACATTCCCAAGGGAGAGGGGGGGTGTTTCTTCAACAACTAACGGATTCTTGCAGCGCATTGCATGCCACTGCAACCCTCCCCTCGTCCATATCGCAACCTCTTTTGCTTTCCCTGCGCAATGGCCAACACACCTGTTCTGCTTTCTCTCACGCGCTAGAGGGCCTTCTCAAACTGTTACTGCAATACGTTCGTGCTACCTTACTTACTCATAGCGATGGTCCAAAAGAGGGATTTCTTCTTCCCAGTTTTGCTGCATGCAGGAAACAAGACGGACCGCCAGCTCCAAAACCCCTCATCGAACACGGACCTCTCTACGGACCTTTCGCCTTTCCTTCGCATTCTCTCACACGCAGAGACACGTTTCTCTCAAGTCTCTCTATTCGTGTTGTATAAGCT